CAAAAGACCTCACAAGAAGAGACACACAAGAGAGAGAGAGAGACAAAAGACAGATAAGAGCGTTCGACGTCATACTAAAGAAAGCAAAAGTCTCCAAAAAAAAGAGACAGACCATTAACCCCCCCCTTCCCCCTCCCCCGCATATCACTCCCCTCCCTACCCCCCTTCTCGCAGCCATGAACGTCGACCCTCTAACCGGCGCACCGCTGCCTTCCACCGCAATTCAGCGCATCCTATACCTCGCGCCCAAAGTACACATATACCAGATCCCGCCGGCTACCTCAACAAAAGGGTACCAAGCCTCTATGTGGACAGCCAACAACAACCAGCTACAGATCTTCACCGCGCGATTACGCATCGTCGAGACGTCGATACCCAGCGCGTCGTCGGACGACGCAAGCGGGGCCGATGACAACGAAAAAGTAACGACGACACTCCTGCTCGAAGACCCCAAGAACGGGGATCTCTTCGCCGCAGCCCCGTACACCAGCGAGCGCACCGTCGAGCAAGCACTAGACAGCAGTCGCTTCTTCGCCATCACCGTCGTGGGCGAGGGCCGCAAGGCTGTGCTAGGCATGGGCTTCGAAGAACGCAGCGAAGCCTTCGACTTCTCCATCGCCCTGCAAGACGCCCGGCGCGTCCTCGGTTTCGAATCCAAATCCGCCTCCTCGCTCTCGTCGAGATCGTCATCTAAAACCAGTGCTCCCGTGGCTGAAGAGGCTAAACGCGATTTCAGCCTCAAGGCTGGAGAGACAATATCGATTAATCTGGGGGGCCTTAAGGGCAGGCGGTCACGCAGCCACGAGAGCGATAAGAGCGATGAGGGCAAGAAGAGCGATCAGGATGCGCTGTTTAGTATAAAACCGCCGCCTGGGAGCGGGCCTGGAGGTGCGTTTTTGCCACCGCCCCCGAGTGCGAAGAGTGTCAAGGAGGAGAGGAGGAGGAGTAGACAGACGTTTGATGCGGCTAGTTTGCCGCCAAAACAGACGGCCGAGGATCTGGGGTTTGATGATGGAGAATTTGGAGAGTTTCAATAAAAGAAAGCATATGTGGAAGTACGTTAATGGCGGCATGGCCTTTTTCCTTAATTTCTTGTACATTTAGCAAGGCGTTTTCTTTTTCATATTATGCATCTGTCTCACGTGTATCCTCGCATGGTAGGCGCGTTGAGGAAATTCAAACATCAAAAGTTAAGAATGGTTGTTGCATGTGTAATGTGTCCATGTCGTTGGATGTGTGTATGTGAGAGCATGTGATAGGGGAAGGGGGGGTATCAGGTAAGTTTCCGGCTCCAAGTAAACGCCTTGAAAAAAGACACAGCCGAAAAAGATGACAAAATCCGCATCTTGACTTAAGACTCAGTCCAGCCCTGCGCCTCCTTGTACAGCCTCTCGATATCACGAATCAAATCCTCAGGCTTATCACCATCTGGGCAGTCCTTGAACTTGCCCCCATCAGCCACGCACCTCACCTTGTCGTCTAGCCTGACGGTACAGCTCGTCGTCACGCCCACATCACGGCTATGCTGTGCGCTATCCCTCAACAAGCCCATACCGTACGCGCCGTTTTCCTTGCTCATGCACTCGTTCAGCACTTCAAAGTCGAGACCGTGTTCCAAGGCGCAGTCCTCGATGAGCGAGCGAGCGGGTATCTCGGGGTAGTCGGTGATGAGGCAGTTTGTGAAGCCTAGGTAGAGCTTGGGGTCGGGGTACTCGGATGCGGCGCAGAGCATCACAATGTCGCCCAGGCACTCGGTTTGGCCGTGCATGCATAGTACGCCGTCGTCTTCGGTTAGGCTGCCCAGAGTTTGTTAGCAACTGTCATGTGTGCGGGGGGTTTGTTGGTTGATTGCGGTGGCAGGCAAACTTACGTGCCAATCATGCTTAGACGGAAGTCGACTTTGTCAGATACGTTTGCCATGGCGGGCAGGACCAGTTTGTTGAGGCAGTCTCGCGCGTCGGGGCACTTGGACATGATGTGGACGTCCAGGGGCACTTTTGAATCGCCGTCCAGGCTGTGGTGGTCATCGGCGCAGGTCCATGTCGATGCCAGCCAGAACAAGCTGAGGACGAGCATGGCGACGGCCATCTGCAGGCGGTTCTTGCTGCTGGAACCGCGCGAAGGCACGGGCTCGCCAGTCTCCAGGGTATGGGGGATGAGGGGCGTTTTCTCTTCCATTTTATATACAGGGCGCACGCGTCGATGTTGGGTTTGGTATTTGGAGATGGGGTTCAGACAATCTAGATGGCGTGCTGAACCGGACTAGCGAGACCGGGGGGGTGGAGAGAGGGTGCAGCTTATGTGATGAGTGCGATTGACAAGCAGATGCACATACACATGTACACGGACGTATGGATGGATGGAGGGAGGGAGGGATGCAATCGAATATGGAGTGATTGGCGGTCGGGGCCTCCCCATAGCGTGGTCAACTAGTCGGGCGTGTGTCCTGGCAACGCCATGTCGAGCACATTGGTCAGAGTAAAGTCACACATGGATGGATTGATAGACAGTCAGCGGTTCATGGAAATGCATCAATGATATGCACCTCGCCCCGTTGCCAACCGTGGATTGCCTCAACACCCGCTCCACTCACACTGTACATATATGTACGCAAATAGATGGCACCGGCACATGCCATGGCGCGGGAGACACGACGGCTCAACAATTACCCGCAAGTATCATGTGTGGCGTTTGTTTCTGTGAGGCTGGCATGACTGGACTGGGTGGCCCCCCGACGGCCGGAGGGGCTACACGCATCCTGCATCGCAAACATCACCGCGCCTATTCCTGGGCACGCAATCTCCCCTGGCCGCCGCTCATTTTTGCTTCTTACGCTCCCTCGCAATGAACGACTCACTTATCTGGTTTCCCTTCTGATACCCCACATTTAGACTTGCATACATACCCGTCTGCTTCACCCACAAAACCCCCCAAAAGGCCAAGGCCCCCCCAGTCACCCTGCTATCTGCTTGGTCCATGCGCACAGCCTTGTACTGCCAACCTCCTGTTCCCTGCGCCTCTTAGCATTGAGCCAAAATGGCGTCAACTGATGCCGCCGTTCCCATTGATGCTTTTACTTCCCTCATCAATACCACCACTTTACTCGACTTGGCCCGCCGCTTCTCGGCAACCTACAGCCATCTCGCTAGGACCTCAACAGAGCATTTCCTCGCTACTCCCGTCACTGCCCTGCCTACTGGAAAGGAAAAGGGCAAATTCCTGAGCATTGATGTTGGCGGCACTAATCTAAGAGTTGGATTCGTCGAGCTGATTGGAGAGCCAGACGCCTCTGCAGGGAGTGAGCGCAGCCGGAGTAGTACCATTGGGGACAATGTCTTTGCTCAGATCAACCGAAGTCATGACAAAAACTGGCCAATTGGAGACCACCTGAAGATGGACCAAGCCGAAGACCTCTTTGCCTGGATAGGTGACTGCATCGCCGAGGTTGTAAAGGGTGCACTTGACGAACAGGAGAGCAGTGACAGTCAAGTTAGCTCGCCTCTAGGCGATGAGATTCTGCTTGGTATCACCTTTAGCTTTCCAATGGCGTAAGTCGAGTCGACCATATACTACCACGGTGCTGTGCTAACATCCTTGTTAGCCAGACTCGTCTATCAGAGGCAACTCTGCTGCCAATGGGCAAGGGCTTCGCTATTACATCCGACTTGAACTTGGGCAAGATGCTTCTTGCAGGGTACGCCCGACACTGCGACGCTTCTCAGCAAAACAAGCCGCCATTACCAAGGATACGTGTTGCAGCCATCACCAACGACACAGTAGCCACCTTTGCATCCCTCGCCTATGCAGTCAAAGCTTCACCAAACAGTCGTGTATCAATGGGTCTGATTGTCGGCACTGGAACTAACGCAACAGTGCCAATGAAGCTGGATCATCTACACCCAGCAAAGAAGAGTGCCTTAGCCAACCCTGATGCTGTCGAGACAGTAGTCATCAACACTGAATGGACAATCCGCGGCACTGACAAGCCCCTGATCGATCTCAACATCAAGACCCCCTGGGACATGACACTCGACGCAAACAGCGACGCACCAGGTTTCCAGCCATTCGAGTACATGACATCAGGGCGTTACCTCGGCGAAATCGTACGCTTAATATTCATCGACGTGGTCTCCAAAGACAGCAGCGTACAAATCCCTCCATCCCTCCAAACCAAAAACGCCCTCCCCACCAGATTCCTCTCAGAAGTCATTGCGCGAAAGGGCGGCCGCATCGTCCAGCAAGAACTAGAAAACCGGTATCCCGACGCAAGCCCATCTGACGACCCCTTCTGGACCGTCGACAGGGTAGAAATGATCCGCGACATCGCCGAAGCAGTCCAACAACGCTCCTCCGCTCTCGTCGCCGCCGCATGCGTCGGCCTCTTGAATTGCGTCGGCGAGGTATCTCTCGATGGCGCAAAAGCACCCAGCAACGGTACGCAGCATAGTTCAAAGGGTAAGCGCGAGATTGAAGAGCTGGTCATTGCGTATGCGGGCGGTACCATATCGCAGTATCCCAAATGGCTGCAGACGTGTCAGCAGTGGATTGATATTTTGGTCGAAGAGGGCTCAGCGGCGAATTCCAGCAAGCAGGTTACCCTCAAAGAAGCGAAAGATGGGGGGATCATTGGGGCGGGCGTGTTGGCGGCTATGACGGATGACATGGCGTGAAAGATGGATAGTTTTTTTCTGTGAGGGTGTGTTGAGTGCAAATAGAAGATGTGTATTGCATTTTAACAAATAATAGTATTATTATTATCTATTCATTCATTTCATACTTTCATCCCCCCCCCCTTTTTTTTCCTCAAGCGAAGGTAGGGAATCAAACGTACTAAACATGAGATGTGTGAAAACTACTGGAAAATAAGACAATGGGATTGAAGCATAAACGGACTACAAAACCGCCACAAAAACTCCTCTACTATCTCTATTATTCCCGAGTCCGAAAGGGAAGTTTTGAAAGCAAACACATTACTGATCAGACAAACCAAATCCCCTCTTTCATCTAACAGGCAACTGATTCTGCCACTCCGGATCTACCTTACTCTGCTTGAAAAAGCTTTTACCCCTCAACCACTGCCTGTACGCCTTATACCGCTTCTTACTCGTATCTTCATCTTCCACATCCAGCGGATTCTCCTTAACCCTCAAAAACTCCTCAAACTCCTCAATATCCTCCTCGGGCGTCTGGAACTTGCTTCCAGATACCAGCGGATAATGATGGTGGTGATGGTGCTGGTGCAGGGGTGTGGGTGGAACATCGTTGTAGACGTGGGGGTAGGAATATGAAGGGGGGTGTGAAAAGGGAGTGCTGACGGATTGAGACGTCATGGGTCGGGCGTGGTGCGAAGTGAAAGAGCGCACCGATGCCACATCCGTGTCTAGTCGGGCTTGCTCAGACAGTGTGATTTGGATGCCGTCTTCGTCAAAGTCCTTGGGTGGCATGGCGCTAAATTCGGTGACGGAGAGATAGTCGTAGTATTCCATTGCGATGGGGTCGTCGGCGGTGGGGATATCGCTGCTGACGACTAAGGGGAGATTGAGTGGGTGTTCGACGTAGCGCGAATATTCATCTTCTTCAATCGGGGCGACCGATGGGTTCATGCTGTTTTCATAGAATTGACGCAGGGTCCATTGGTGGACTAGAGCTTTGTCGGCCGGCTTGAAGCCAGGCTTGAGTGTCGATGACAGGCCTGTGGAAGTGGAGGTCGAGTTGTTCATAGACTGGTAGGCCGATGATGTCGAAGCAGACATGTGTGTCTCAAAGTGAGGGTCTCGAAGAATAGATTGCCGGGCCCGCTGATCTGGATGGGGTACATTATGATGTAAGTTTCTCCCACGAGGCGTAGGGAAGCGATCGGGTCTAGATTCAGTCTCACTTGATGGGTCAATAATAGTGACCCCTTTCCGGGGCATTTTCTTTTCGTCTCTTCCTCCCGCATCAAGCTCTTGCTGTTTCTTTCGAGGAACAAATGGAGACATGTTTTCCTTTCGAGACGGATAAGTACCATCCCGTCCAGGCCGTGGCTTAGCCAGTCGAAAAGCAAATATCTTGAGGTAAGAAGATATGGCCAATGGCCGGTAGTATTCGAGCCAATAGTCGTCGCGGAAGCTGATAAAGTCAAAAGCAGTCTCTTCCGTCGGCCTTGCTGGCATGATCGAGGGTGGTAGCGCACGCTGTTGAAGATGAGAAAGAGTATACCAGTTGATATAATCTCGTCGGTTTCGATCCAGCACGGTTTGCGGGCTTTGGTGATGAAGGTAGTAATCAGTCGAAAGATCCCAAAGCATTGGCTGACCATGCGAATATGTGTAGTATCCAAGGAACAAATTGTAAGCTTCTTGTCGCTGCGAGTCCAGAAATGAGTTGTGATAGTATCGCTTGAAGCTTTCCACCATGTCGCGCGAGCTGCTTTGCCATTGGTTGATTTTTCGGTACGTAGCCATAGTATTAACAAGATGTGACCCGCCGTATTGAATGGCGATAGTATCGCCGTGGCCGTGGAACATTTGTGTAAATAGCTCGACGCAATCAGAATCATACTCTACAGTGTTTCCAGAAATGACGCCCAGCGCCTGTAGCTGACGGCCCAGGGCACGCTTTCCGATGACAAACTGCGCTGCATTTGTTCGATCCAAACAGTCAATACAGTTGGTTCGAGCGACACCGTTCTGTACCTGTGGCTCATCAAACTCACTGTCGCCATTCCGGAAGAACCCTGTCTTACGCATCACCTTCTCAGCAAGGTTCTCCAGGGTGCCTATGACGTCCTGTCCTCTCGTTTTCGCTGCTCTGGACATGTCGAATGCTTCATACAGAATCTTTTTATCCTTAGGTAGAGACTGATTCAGATAGTCAACGGCATGCTTGTATTCATGAAGCAACTTGGATTCCCTTGGAGTTCGTTCTCGAGCCTTGATCAAGTTGAGAACATAGATAGGAGCTCCATATCTTTCAAAAAGGTTGTCGAAATGCAAGGCCGCAGCGCTGTAGAAGGGGTCCACAAGATTAAGATCGATGTCAGGCTTGGGCGTGACACCGGTATTGTCTTGAGTCCAATATAGCGGTATGCTACCTCGATGTTGCACATAGGATGTGTAGTTGGGATTGGCATACAGCCTTGGCCCGGGTGCGTGGAAGGACGTTGTTGTCTGCTCAGATACAATCTGCTCAGTCTCAACATCATTTGCGACGTAACCTAGATCGTTCGTTCCGCGCTTCAGAAATCGAGCACCGGCGAAGAACCTCGATCTTCTCGCAATGATAGTAAGATATACCCGCCGGCCAAATACATCGAGAGAAGACTGGTCGACGTAACCGTGTATGATTGGATGACACCAATCGTACATGTTCTTCAAGGCATCGCGTGCGGGCTCAAGGAGATGGTGGTTCCAAACGAACATGTCCTGATAATCACGATCTGGGTTTGAGATGCCTTGATTCAACGCAGTGCGCTGTTGGATGATGTTTTGCTGTAAACTCCTTGTTATGTTGTAGGAATATGAAAAATAAAACGACCGCGTAAGGTCCATGTTGTTGAGAATCGACAAGAACCTTGCCTCTTCTGGATTCCGGTCCTTTTGGTATTTCGACGTTGACCCTGTCGTCAGAGGTATCATCTCCGTACCGTCGATCTGATAGATGTAGTGGCCACCTAGCATAGCTACTTGGGATCTCTTAGATATCAAGAGCATGTAGTAGGCCTCGGTAAAGCGGATGAATCCCAGCAAACCCCACGTGCTGCATTTCAGCTTCATGCCGCCTGTGGCTTTGTTGCCGTCTGCTATCGTATCTAGGAGCTGGTGCATCTCTCGCCGACTATACACTATATCATCTTCGAAGATGTTCAAGTGTCCTGGCGCAGCTGTTCGATCGATTTTCAAAACGCGAAATTGCCTGTCTGTGATATCGGCACCGATGAGGTAGAAGCGAGTACTGGTTTCGTAGAGAGAAAACTTGTGCATCCTCTTGATGCCGCTTTCTCCCACATTTTGGTAGGTCGCACCCTTGGCCTTGTGTACTGTGGATGGCGTTGCAGGTCCATGGAATGCTACGTTCACGTTTGGGTTCTCCTCTTCGCCGCCGAACTTTGTAGATGCAGACTCTCTTCGGGGCTTGCCATGACCGGGTAGCTTTTCCAGGTCAGCTTCTGGCTTGAAATTGTGGTCATGTTCAAGGGGCAAGGTCTGGGGGCTTCCAACTGCAGTTGGAGCTTTCTCGATGTCATCTAGCTTGTCCTGACTGACGCTTTCGTGTGATGTGGTTGCTCTGGAGGTTATTGAACTTGCCCGTTCTGGGGAACCTAGCTTTGACTTAGATCTCTCCATCATCAGCAATCAGTTGGTGGATAGAGTTCGGGGCGGTATAGCGAAAGGAAATGCTGTCATGTGGTCACGGCGTGCTGGTCAGAGACTCAAAGTACTAGCGGCGTGTGCGCATGATGCATGGTAGTCACAACCCAGACACGGAGCCTTCTTTCACAAGCCAATCATGATTCGAGGAAAGCTAAGACGAAACCTTTTTCCAGGTGCAGAGTCCCTTTGTAGACTGAAAGGGTTCCGACGTGTTGTTTTCCCCACTAGGTCCCAGCTCACAGAGGCTTGGCGCACGTCAATGCACCTATCAGCACGCCAACATGGTACCTCATGCCTTATCTGGATCTTGTCACAGCAGGGCTAGTAGATATGTTTAGGATAGATTAAACTCTATTATATATACCTATCTACAGCATAAAACTGAACTTGTTCCTCTTTCGCGCCATACTTCCACCCTCCTCCAGTGGCACGCCTGCGTATTCTGCATGCCCGTTGTCCTTCAACCTTCTATTCTCTTTGATTAACACCCATCTAAGCACCGCAGCGAGAATTCCAACGAGCAGCATGAATGCAGCGCATATACTCATGCCTTTGACATAGTACGGGCCATCTTGGTCAGGGAAAATGCTTGTACCGACCAACGGCCCGACTTGTCCAATGAGATTCAAAAGGGTCATTCCAGCACCCTTTTTGCTGTCACTTTCCTGATTGTTGACTGTCCACGTTACAATACATGTGATCGCACTGAAGAAGCCTGCTGCTGCAGGAAATAGGGCGATATAGCGAACCGTGGTATTGTCAGACTTGAGATAACCAGAAATCGCAATAGTGGCGTATCCGGCTGTGGCGAGCAAGGAGTGTAATATGATGAAGGTTGAGCGTGACTGCAGACGATCCGAGTAGTGTGCGGTGATAAGCACAGTTACAAAGGCGAACAGATACGGTGGTGCCGTCAAACCTTGCGCGGTAATCGACTCCCAGCCCATGTCTTTTATGACTGTGGGCAAGAAAACCGGCATTGAGGCAAATGCGACATTGCAAGAGAAGAACATAAACGCTGTCAGATAGGCCTTTGGGTCTTTCAGAGTCTGAAGCACCTCGCGGAAATCCAGACCTCCTCTTCTTCTTTGGCCTTGGTACTTTTCATCATCTTGGTCTTGGTCTTCTTTCTCCTTTTCCGATCTCAGTCTCATCACTGCAACCTCGCGCTGTCTTGGACTCAGCCACTTTACAAACCCCGGCCCGTCTGGGATGACGTCCCAGGCCCAGACAGCAACCAGGACAGACGGAAACCCCTCCACCAAGAATAATAATCGCCATGGGTTCAGCTGAGTATGTTCTCCGATCTTGGTGATGCCATAGGCCAAAGCGCCTGCAAATGATGCCGAAAGGGGGCTTGCACTGACAACGAGTCCGGTCCGAAAGGCAAGCTCACGTCGGCGATAAAAGAAAGACAGGTAGAACGGTATACCCGGAGCAAAGGCGGCTTCACTGAGACCAAGTAAAGCTCGCAACACAAAGAGAAAACCGAACGAGTTTGTAACCGCTTGGAGTGATGCTATGATGCCCCAGGACAGGACACACAAGGAGATGTAGACGTGTGGCGGTACGACGCGATACCTGTTTACGTTTAGCGATACACCAGTTTTGGGGTGAATTGTACGAACATTAATATCATCCATTCGAAGACAATGTAGGTGATATAAAAGGCCCACAGAAGCCACTCATACTGAGTAGGGCTGAGCTTCAAGTCTTCTGGGAGACCAGCTATGCGTGCATTACCAATGTCTGGCATTCTTCGTCAGCATGGATGCGGTTCAACCAATTCCCATCATACGCGCACCTGCTATGGAGATAGCCGCTGAATCTTTCTGGGTCTAGGATCTACTCACTCGACCGATCCAAGAAGGCCAACATGTAGAGGAAGGCCATGAACACGACTAACCTCCTATCCAGCTTCTTCAGAACTGTACGGTCCTCATCCGGGGTATAAAGTTCATAGCTTTGAACTGAATCGAGTGAGGGGCGACGCCCACCAGGTAGCAGGCCCTCGTCTTCTTCACCTTCCACTTCTTCTTTCGACACTGGCTCCTCGTGTAGGGTGATTGTTTGTAATTCGAACGAGTTTGGTTCATGCATTATAGATGGGCCATCGGAGGATTTTGAGGACCGAGTCGAGGGCGTAGCCTGGGGCGAACTGTCACTAGTGCTTGGAGATGATTGTTTAGGTCGCTGACGGGATGAAGAAGAAGACATGCTTGGCTTTGTTTGTGGTAGGAAGAGGGGTGTAAAGTCCAAAGAACGGATCACATTGAATAAGGAACGTGGCTTGCATAAGCCGACAGTTCCGAAATCTTATCGTCGCACGGGTTTGTAGATGCCAAAAGTGTGATCGAAATGACCGCAACCCTTGTCCTCGTGTTCTAGCGATGACGCTGCGGGGCCCGTGCAGCTACCCCACAGTTCAGGGTCACTTTCCCTGATCGACATTCGCGTCGCGCATTTCTTCAATACGCGTAAAGTTGTGAAATGCCATTCCGCATTTTCTGACGGTCCCCCTATATATTTGACGCCAGAACCTTCAACAAATACTTCGAAAATTGTCTTCGAGGAAATATTTGATGCTTTCCATCATCCCTTGCCAGACTTTTCTACTTACCAAGGATAATAGCATGTATATTTGTGCATGTATCAGCTGCATAACACTTCCTTCGCCCCTATAGTCAGAGATGAGCCCTAATGAGCACACCCGGTTCCATCCGGACTTGACTGTACCCATAAACATTGAGACATTCAAGCCTCTGCGAATAGATTTCAAACTGCGACTGTCTACGATTGCCATTCGAACGGCACAGAAACAAACATTTAAATGGTATAATCCAGATCGCATGTGGTGGGAGAGAGAGAGAGAAGGAAATAATTATATTCAAAATTCTTGAGGAGTGCCGATCCATTTTGGTCTGCCGAACTGCGTCTATTTTGGCAATTGCCAGTCCTTGTAGCTCCACTTCTCGGATACCGTATACTTCTTCTGCTTTGCGTACGGAATCTGTCTTCTGGCTTCGACTTTGCCCTGCAGCAGCATTGTCCTAAAACGGTCCTTGAGAAGATTTCCCTCTGGCTTGAGAAGACGAAGCGAATCTCTCAACTCGTCTGGAAGCACAACCTCGAGTGGAGCTTCTGGCAATCTGGGTAAAGTTAGTAACCAGCACGGTTCAAAAGTGAGGAAAGAATCTTACGGAGCCTTGCCAAACTGCTTTTTCCTGAGCTCGATCTCCTCGCCATCATCCTCTACTGCTTCGGCGTTCTGCTTCTCAAGAGCCTGGCGTACAGCAGCTCTTGCCCTCTCCTTTTCTTCAACACTCTTCGCTAGCCTTTTCACTTCTTGAAGTTGTTGTTCTTTTGCCTTCATCTTAGCCTCGTGCTTGGCTTTCCTTTCAGCCTCTTTCCTCTTCTTGATCTTGTTCCTCTGGGATATGGTTTTCCTCTCTGGCCTTTTCTTCTTTGCCTCCTTGTTCTCATTGTCACTGAAGCCTTCCCACTCACTTTCCCAAACGCTCTCTTCGCCAGAATCTGATTCCGTCTCGGCAGCAGCTCGTTCCATACGTTCAGCCTCTTCGCGGGCCTCTTCAAGACGCTTCTTCTCGGCCTCGACAACCTTGTCAGACTCGCGCATAAGCTCATTCTGCCAGTCTTCTAGTAGAGGGTTGTATGACTTTCCGCCAGTCGGTTTGCGGACTGCTGGGATGGGCTTGCCAGTCTTTGCTTGAGAGACAGGTGCGTGCTTGAGGGTCTTTGGCTCCACTTTTGGCTTCTTCTTTTCCAGATATTCAAATCTAGGATCCTCCTTGACTTCTTGTACCGCCCATGGGTCATATACAGCGTCACTGGTTTGCACTACATCCTTCTTGACCTGTTCGCCGCCATAGGCAATGGCTCTTAACCTGTCGTATTCCTTGCTTGAGACCTTAGCCTTCTTTCTCTTGCCATCATCGGCAATGTCCGAGAGACGTTTCCTGGTTGAGACGGCGGGAACGGCAGAGCGTTGGGCGAGGATCTCATCGACCTTGAGAGGCTTGTGGCGCTTCGCGATAGACTTTTTGATCTCGGCAGATCCAAGGGTATCGACTGCGAAGAGTTCGTCGGCAGTCTTTTCCGCAATGACACCACTACTATCTGTTAGCACAATGCAGCGGCTGTGGCCAGCACGAGACATACCCTTGGATTATCTGCTCTCGTACTTCTTCAAGGCCAGACTGGATTTGCGTGACATCGACATTCTTGCGCCAAGCCTTCTTGCCCTTGCGACTAGGCTGCTTGTGCTGCGCCGGTGCGGCTCCTGAGTCTGCCATTGTGTCCTTCGCGTAGTTTTGCGGGCAAGCCGTGGGGTTGTTGGCTGTCGCAAAAAGTTCGAGCCAAAATTCCGACCAACGCACGCACGGACATCCTGGCAAGACCCACCCGGCACCCCTGCGCCTCTCGGTAGTCGGTGTTGGCCAGAGTACAGGGTGCAAGGCCTCCAGTTGGACCAGCCCTCCTTTCCGGACACCGCACTTCGCCAAGATACAGAACTCGGAGCCCTGATTGCTGTGTACACGCCTAGTCTTTCGCTTTTGTCTTCCTCTCTGGCCTCTCTCCCATATCCTTCGTCATGGCGCAAGCGGGGTATTCGAATCCGCTGAAGAAGTTCAAGTGAGGTGTCCTCCGCAACGCACATGTACCCTGTATACTGATTGCCTGTAGGCTTGTGTTCTTGGGTGAACAGAGCGGTATGGCATGCTTCATTCCCACGCAAACATCCGCCCATGTATACTGACCGCATGTCTAGTCGGCAAGACATCTTTGATTACCCGGTTCATGTACGACTCGTTCGACAATACCTACCAAGCGACCATTGGCATCGACTTTCTGAGCAAGGTGCGCTCCCCACCCCCATGACACCAAGGCGTGCTCTCTAGAAAATTCCTGACTGGAGCCTCCAGACCATGTACCTTGAAGATCGAACAGTCCGCCTACAGCTGTGGGATACTGCTGGACAAGAACGATTCCGCTCGCTGATTCCCTCGTACATCCGCGACTCTAGCGTAGCCGTAGTTGTCTACGACATCACCAACAAGAAGACGTTTGAGAACACAAGGAAGTGGGTAGACGACGTGCGAGGTGAGCGAGGCAACGATGTTATTATTGTGCTTGTAGGAAACAAGACGGATTTGAACGACAAGCGCGAGGTCACCACAGCCCAGGGCGAGGAGGAGGCCAAGAAGAACAACTTGATGTTTATCGAAACTAGCGCAAAGGTTGGGCACAATGTCAAGGCATTGTTCAAGAGAATTGCGCAGGCATTACCGGGCATGGAGGGCGAGGGCCAACAAGGGCAGAGTCAGAGTATGTTGCAAAGTCGGCACGTGAACAAGTGCCATGCTAATCCGCTTGGCAGTGATCGATGTGAACATCAACCCCAGCCAGCCCGCACAGGAAAACTCATGCTCATGTTAGAAATGTCACGACCCATTCACCAATCGACCTTGGTTCATTCGCTCACAGCATTCTCTTTTTTTGTCTTGTTCTCATTATCTGGGGGTTTCTTGCGAGTCTGCGCAAGTCATTATCAGCAAGGCGTTTGGACATAGGCTGCATGCATCTTTAACGTCGGAAACGTGTATTCTGTAATATACCAGGGCGTATCCGTGCGTGCCATGGCATGACGTCAATGGAGCGACGCCCGGCGCTGTGGGATTATGTATAAGCACTCGAAGCCCGCCCATGCCAACCAATTGTGCTATCCAGGTGCATCGTGCTGAACCGGAACGCCAACCGTGAGATGGACCGCATGGCGCCATTACATATACAAGAATATTACATGGGGTCGTGATCAGATGGAGAGGGGTTCCATGAAAGCTTGCTGAATTTTGATCAAAGTACTAGTGTCGAAAGCGACGTTTTACTCGAGATCGCCTGCTGAGCCCGCCTCAGACGGTGTCTTGCTGCCGCCGACCGGGATTGAAGTGTCCACGGCGATCATCTCGGCTAGGATGTCTAGAACCGGCTGTGTAGTGTTAGCAAAAATCCGAGCGCACAAGGTGGCGAAAAGGAATCTACCTTGGGGACAGTCTTGTCGTAAATGTTGATCAGTTCCCTGGGGTTAGGGTAGACCTTCAATGCGCGATAGAAGCACAGCGCAGCCTCCACGTTATCCGCACCTGGCATACAATTAGCACCACACCCCGCCAAGACCACGACCGTGACCACAATGACTGCATACCCTTTTGCACCATTCCCTCTCCTTGGGCAACCTCTTGCATAAAGTATGCCTCGACCTCCTCGGGGTCCTTGGGGAAGCCCTCATCGTTTGCGCGCTCGACCGCCTCCCGGATGGCCTTCTTCTGCTCGGCGCCCTGTGCTTCGGCCTCCTCCTTGGCCTGGCGCTCTGTCCGCTTCGACTCCTTCTTGAGCTGCTTGCGGAAATTGGGGTCGTTTCGTCGCTTGTAGTCGAAGTAGGCGGCATATGCGAGGAGGCCTGTGATGATGGTGCCGGCGCTAATAGCCGCAATGGTGGAAGGTTTTAATGACGAGTTGGACATGATGGCGGCCGAATGCGTGGGATTGGAGAGCGCTTGGTGGCGGAGAAGGCTCGGCGGTACACCTTGGAAATGGAGGAGGGATGGCGGTGGTGCGTGAGTGTGTGGTGTTCAACTTTTTCTCCAAGTTCAGGGAAGGCACGATCCGACATGGTGGAGGGTCCGAGCTCACACGCTCGCCGCGGCCCCATGCACGGCATGCATGATGCACTTGCGCTTACCTGTCACGACCACCTCGACTAATACCTCTACTACTACTACTACTACTTCTGCTGCTGCCACTGCTGCTGCCATCCCCCAAGGCAGCATGTCGGAAAAGCAAAAGGGCATCTCCCTCCGCAAGAAGCGGGGGGACAAGAGCAAAAAGGCCCCGCCCGTCATCAGCGCGCCGCGTCAGATTAGCGCGCCTATGCCCGTGGCCGTCGCTCCATCTTCACTGCCAGGTTCAGGACGCCCTTCGAACGAATCCAGCAGATCTAGGACGAGACAAGATGTTCCGCCTCCGCCTCCGCAAGCAAACCCACAGCGGCCTGATAAGACGGCCGCTTTGGTTAAGAGGAGGTACTCGCAAAAGGTCACGACGAACCCTCCCGACTTCAGGGACAGAGCGCCTATGCCTCAGATGCCTGTACAGTACCGGCAGGAAAGGGAGCCGAGCCAGACGAGAGAGCCCAGGCAGCAAGGCATGTCGAACGCGCCTAATGGGTCCAATGGACGGGCTTTGCAGGTCGACCCCCGCGCACTCAGAGACCCCAACTTGAAAGTAGAACAATGTGAGACGCACATATTGAGGAAATACGTACAATAAAGTGTTGACCGCATTCAGATGTATCCACCATTCTCGCAGATGCCTCCGAAGCCGACATCAACCGCTACCAAGACGAATTACGCAAGACCAAGCACCGCACTTCCCTCGATCTCCAGCACAATGTATACCAGAACCGCACACAGTTTATCAAGATCAGTAAAGAGGCGGAGAAGCTCAAGGGCGAAATGCGAACACTGCGCCAGTTAATGTCCGACTTGACCACCACGCTCGAGCAGACAGCATCAGCCACTGGCGCAAACAACGACGCTGCAAGCAACAGGAGAGCTAACAGAAGCTCTATTGGCGACCTCAACCAGCTGCGAGCAGGCCAATTGCAGCAGTTGTACAGAGATGTCGAAGGCTCGCAGAAGTACCTACCTCCGATACCCGGACGATACATAGTATGGAAGTCAGGGAAATGGTTCGAACTAGACTCTGCAACTTTAAAAGCAAGAAGACGAGTCAGGCTGCTCCTGCTGAACGACCACCTTCTGATTGCGACAGAAAAGAAGGCCCGCAACGATGTCCCCGGGCAGCGTGAGGGCAATCGAACAAACATGGAATTTACTGCGCAGCGATGTTTTCCATTACTAGACACCCATGTCACAAGGACGCCAGAAGAGCGCATCATTATCCGTGCAGGCGCGGAATCATTTACTTATGATACCAAGAAAGAAGATAGTGGGGACAAGTCCGCTTTTGTTGCAACCTTCCGTAAAACTAAGGATGACTTGCGCAAGAGTCAAGAAGCCGATGTGCAAGAAAAAGAACGGACCCAGGACTCGTACAGCCACTTGCTCTCTCGTGACCCTGCGCTCATGAACAGGACAGAGCTTCTCGACAATCTTTCTGATGGAATCAACAACGAGCAAGCCAACACATTTATGGACGTAGATGGCCAGAAGCGAAATGTCCGTTGGGTGGAAAGCCAATTGGATGACTTGGACATTGAGATTGCGCTGCAGCATTTCGAGGAAGCAGTGGTAAAAGTCGATCGACTCAAGTCACTTGCGAAGAACATCCGTGGCAACGAAATGGCAAAGGCCATTGTAACATACAAGGTTAATGAGCGCGCTGCTAAGTTAGCAAACGTGCTGGTCAAACACATGGTAGAGCACAACAACTGGTTCTCCTCTGTCCGACAGCACGTCAGCTGGGTCGTTCAACTAGGTTTCGAAGACAGAGCGCGCGAAGATTATCTTGAGGCTCGCGGTAACCTCATCAAAACTCGCTCACGGTTCGTTTCCTCCCTCCCTTTCATGATCTGTCGGCTAATGCTTCTTCACAGTCAATGCGTCTTCGAAGGCAACCTACCAGACTACATCTTCCAAATTTCATACATCTACTTCACCATTATCAAAAATACGGTCGACATGTTCCAGCGCTGTTTCCCCCAACAACTCATGTCTGCCTGTGTGAAATGGGCTAAAGAACATATTGACCAGTTCAACGTGCTGCTCAAGCGGCAGCTGAGCAGTGTGGAGGAGGGCGGGAACGTGTGGAACGAATGTCTGAGGTTGGCGCATGAACATGCAGAGATGCTGAGGGATGTTGGGTTGGATTTTACAGAGTTGGTGGGAAGGGGGATTGGGGAAGAGGAAGGAGAGGATGCAAAGGCGCCGGTGGGGTTGGGTGTGTCGTAGATGTTTTGGGAATCGTGTAAATAGCGTAATGGGACACATGAGATGTATCGCATGTTGTGAACTTGGTCTTGGTGCGGCTGGCATCATTTCCAAGGTAAGGTGCGACAAACGAGGGTTCGGTTGAACTTCAGCGCGAACAGTGCATAGCTTCGTGTACCACGGAATCTTTTGTCAACGACAAGTGCTGAATTTCAAGCAGTAGGGATGTCTGAGCCAAACTCTCTTAGAGTTAAATGCATATATACGTTTAAAGGAATTGCTATACTCTAGTAAAGGCTCAATCACCAATCCATGTTTCGGTAAGTATCTAGGTTCAGGCGCAAGCATGAAGTCTATAAAGTTGATGAATGTGGATGAGGATATGTCACTCTAATCATTTGGCACTCCTGGATATCATATCGTGCTCGTGTGACAATTTTACTTTACATGCGATAGAAGAGACGCCGTTGTTGCAATAGCTAGAACACATAATTGAACAACACCGTCTGTTCCCAACATTTCTTACCCTCTAGTATAATTTGATCTATAAAAATTACTCAAAACATAGTTTTTGGGTTCCGGTCTAGCCGTGTCGCAATGACAGCCTACTGACAGTCCGCCACTAGTCGCAATCGCCTATATCTTCGCCTACCTTCACTTTCACTTTAACATTATTCGACGTCACCTTATAGAAAAAATTTAAAAGCCTGCAAAATACCGCGCTAATCGTAACTGCACGTCACGTGTGGTTACTGAGCTGTGGGAGTCTGCCTTCACTAGGGATATAAGGACGACTGTGAGACTTCCCTTGCCCGTCACCTCACTTGCTCAAAGACTGTACTCTCAACCTTGATACAGTGAGCTACGCACCCCATCACCAAATACCCACGACACAATTCAACAATATTGAAAATGCCTTCCGACATCGAGAACATCACCTACCTGTATCAGGTCTTGACCCACGATGGCCCCCCGACTGTAAGTTTTACCATTTCCTCTGCAGAAGTGAGAAGGCATCTGTCAACAGTCGTAAGTTAGGCACAAAGAATACCGCTGATTTGCAACAGATCGACTGGGACGCCGTCAGTGCTGCCCTTGATCTGAACAAGGGCGCAGTGACGAAGCGCTGGTCCCGCCTCAAGTCAGCCATGGAGAAACAACAAACGCCCAGCAGCTCTTCGTATTCCTTCCTCTGGCTCTGTGTCAAGCACAGCACCCGTACGAATGTAAGTTATGCATCTTCCTTACATATCTCGTCAACACCGCAAGAAAAAGAAAATCACTAACAACAACATAGCCTATCAACTGGGACGTCATCGCCACCGCCTGTAACACTACGACTGGCGCAGCATCTAAGCGCTATTCTCGTATGAAACTGGCGTTTGAGAGAGGTGACACTGTACCTACTTCTCCCGCTAAGGCTTCTCCTACTAAGGCCAAGGTTGCTCGCAAGCCCGCTATCAAGGACGAACCTAAGGATTCTGGGAATTTCAAGGCATCGCCCAACGCAAAGCGCAAGCGTTCAGCTCTCAAGACCACCGGTGTTCTTGACGATGGAGATGAAGATTCGGATGTTAAACCAAAGCGTGGTAAGCGCAATATGGCCAAGAAAGTGGCCGTCAAGGAAGAGCAAGAGGGTAGTGATGTGTTCTTCAGCGCTGAAGAGCCCACTGAAGCCTTCACTGAAGCAGCGGGTGTGAAATCGGAAGAGCATGATGAATTGCTTCCTGCCGATGACTTGTGCGTTTGAATCAGGCTGACTAGAGGGAAAGAGATTTGGGTGATACGGATGGAATCTGGAAGGAGTGAGAGGTTTCCAGGGCATTATGAATGGTATCAAGGTTTCTTGTAGGCGAACAAGGGGTTGGTTTTGTACGGGATATTGGCATTCGAAGTGCTCTGAGTACCTAACTATCTCGGCCACCCCCTAACAAATTCATGATTTCACATTTTCATTTTCACTTTCCATGAGCCTACGGTGTCAGAACCAACTTTCCAGTAGTCTTACGGCCCTCAATATCCTCAGTTGCCCTTACGATATCCTTCAAAGGATAAACATCGTGAATCTTAACATTCAGTCCATCCTTCTCAATGAACTTCCACAGCTCATTCGATGCTTCTAGAACTTCCTCGCGCGTAGCAAGGTAGTTGAAGAGTGTGGGTCGGACGAGCTTGATGTTCTTTGCTGCAAGACGGCTACCAGGTACATCAGTCACTGTTTCCACAAAGAGGACGAAAAAGGCAAACTTACCCAAGAGAAAAACCTTCCACGGGTCCAGAAGCGTTACCAAACGAAACCATAGTACCCTTCCTCCTCACCACCGCAAGTGAGCTGTCGAATGTAGCCTTGCCGACAGAATCAAAAACCGCATGTACACCCTCACCTCCCGTGATCTCCAGGACCTTCTTCACGAAAATATCTCTGTCTTCCTCATAGTACTCAAGCAAAACCTCAGCACCATTCTCCTTGGCTAGATTCCTCTTCTCCTCTGTGCTAGCCGTCGCAATGACCCTTGCGCCAATCGCCTTGAGCAATTGACACAGCCATAATCCGACACCACCGGCTGCAGCTGTGACAAGGATCCAGTCGCCCTTTTGCACAGCGTGTGCCTCGCGGATAAGAGTTACCGCAGTTAGCGCTTGGAGTAAGGAAGCAGCAGCCGTCTTGGTTGGAATGGAATCAGGCAAAGGAACCGTGGTCTTCGCTGGCGCGGCAACGTATTCCGCATAGGCTGATTGACCCATATAGGCTACTCGCGCACCCACTTTGAGGTCGGCGGGTGTATTGGGGCCGGTTGCAGCGACGATGCCAGCGCCTTCACGCCCGAGAATGTAGGGGAAGTGGGTCGGCTTGTAGACACCTGAGCGGAAGTATCTAGACACGATATGAGCGGCAATCTTGCGGAGATACCATGATCAACTCACGTATCAATGTAGTTGATACCAATGAACTCATTCTTAACCAGTACCTCTCCCTCTTTGGGCTCAGGAACTGGCACATCATTATATTGCAACACATCCGTTCCACCGGTCTTCTCGATATACACTGCCTTCATCGTCTTCGGTATGGACGCCATAGTTCTAAACCCGGTTATCCTCGGACTCACGTGCGCACTGATAGCTGCGAGTCTCGTCGCTGGTGCTGTCTGTCTGAAAAGCAATTGGGCAGGGCGCACAGCTTGCGGCGCAAAAATCATAAATTGGAATTTGGAATTGATGAAGTCCCGGATGCTTGGTTTTTATCTTGGAGGGATAAGCGTTGGGGGATAAATACATACACGGCGGCAGTGCTGCTTGCCCCGCCCCCCACACCCCGCTCCCTGCAACTATCACGTCACGTCACGGTGCGATTGTCTTATTCAGAAATATTTGTTGGATTAGGGAATTGAGGCGACTGGTATACGAATGGAGGTTAGTATGGTGAATCATCTCCTGACATGTAGTACTTGTCAGCGTTGCATGTCACTTGAAGGGCGTATGGAGTTGCCGGTTGGAGGGGAGGTGGGGGAGACCCACGCCGATTTCGCTCGTGGAGTATTGTAAGCAAACAACGCCACAGATTGTCTTGAAGCTCGGTTCGCAGAAGAAACAACGTCTCTGTAAACTGGAGACATTACATGAAGTGGGGTATTTTTGTCAAAGACAATTCTTGTTGTTTTTGTCTTATCGCCTTACGTTGCGCTCGCACGATTCTCGGGGTTTTCACTGCGATACTATGATCTTTTTTGGAACTAGTTGGGTAAGATCGATATTGACAAGATTTGTATTTCTAATAAATCAGGAGCCATTTCTAGCCGTTCTCCCGAGTTGTCACACCGGTGGCAACCAAGAAGCTCATGCAAAGAACCTCTACATCTACACAAACATACACGAGGTAGTTGAAGTGTTAGCATGAATCGTATCTGAGACATATATGTAAGCTTTCCTGGGCTAAATTTTTGAGATTAACCTGTTTTCCTTTCTGAAAAGGGCACTTCAGTCGAAGTACCATCTGAACTACGCGGTCTCAATCAGAATACCATGCAGTGTCATGAAAGGATTGTGTTTTCTCAGAAACAATCCGTACATTCAGGCAGGCTTCAGGTTGCGACATCTCCTTCTCATGTCCATATATGCTTCTGTCTTTATCTCAACTGTGGCGTTTGTGTTGCGCCCTGTCCTTGTGATGAGCTTAGCTTTACAAAAGGTTATTCTAGTTTCATTCTATCTATAGTTTCCTTTCATATTGTCAAGAGTTGTACACGGGTGAGGCGAGTATTGCCATGAAATCTACTAGACCATACCTCTAACCGAAGCTCGTCTACGCTTCTTACGTTCGGCACAATCTCCAAATATGGAGAGACATTGCAAGTAGCAAACTTGTAATGGATCACGACATTGTCTACAATGTCACTTTACAGTACTTATAATCAAAGGGTTGACCATTTTACTCAAACCAATATTTAAACTTCTTACTTCACGACTATTAAAGTCATACGAAGACTCGGTATCTATCATTTCATCTCATACTCTGTTCCTGCAGCATCTAGAACGGACTCGTAGCCCTAGCGCAAACATTGGAGGACAACTTCATACAAACTTCACGATGGTTACAGACAAGGTAGAAGGCAGTGTCACAGGTGAGACTTATGCTCTGCGCAACCTGCCCATACTGACATATAATAGCAAAATATACTCCAGCTATGGTATGTTTACGTTCTCATATACTTAATGATTAGCAAGCGGTCGCTGACGCAAGAACATAGCCTGAAGGTCGTGTCCCACATCAGGTTGCCTGTATCGAAGAACGCGTAACCCTCGAAGAACGTAAAAACCTTCAAGAGCGCAAAAACCACGAAGAACGTATAAACCTCGAAGACCCCAACATCCACGAAGACCCCAGCATTCTTGAAGAATCCAAAGTCCACGAAGAAAAAAATAAGACAGAGCTGAGGACTGCGCCTCACAAAGAGCTTAGTGATGATGACGATGTCAACTGGAAGGAAAGTTACGAAGGGCTATGGGACGTTATGTCGTGGACTGTGTGGATCACTATCATCGTGATAGCAATTAGAGTGTAAATTTCCATAGCCAGTTCGTAGACAAAGACTAGAGTAGGGTACGTCGAGACGTCACGAAATTCTTACGTAGACACGCGCTCGCTTGTGCCACCAACCCATCACCTCGCGTGTCAAGAACCAAGGCTTACCAGCCTCCGCTACGTCATCGCTTCACACATGCAAATTGGGCAAAACCACCATGTCCTAATTGCGCATTCTCCACTCTCCAAACTAACAAATAAGTACATTCTTGCAACCGTATTCTTAAAAAAATTGGCATCGTCAAAAACATTTATTGTACTCCGCTTTTCAAGATGGGCGCATTCCTATCTTCCGTCATCGCGCCTATCGCCCTCCCACTAGGCTCCTTCCTCGCCATACCCATGTTCAGCTCGTGGTCTACGGGCTTAAACCTCATATTCCTCTCTGTCGCATGGACAACAATCGCGGCATCTTATTCGCCTCTACAACTGGAACTCGTTGCTCCCTTCATCCTGCGACTATCACTGTACATCATACCCAGCCTTATCTTTCTTATCTTCGACATTGGTGTGCCTAGTCTTGCGGTTGAATTCAAGAGCCAGGGGAAATGGGGGATCCCAAGTAACCAAAGGGGTGGTGCAAGGGCAGTGAGAAGGGTAGTAGCGTGGAGTTGTGCCAATGTACTGCTTACGGTTGCGCTGCAAGCGGGTATTGAGTTTCTTGTGACGGATGTGTTCCAAATGAGGAGTCTACTACGCATCAAGGGAAGTAGATGGGGGCTCAATCACTTGCCGAATCCTTGGACCATGGTAAAGCATGGCAGCATTGCTTTTGTGACGCGAAACGTGAGTTGGCTTTTCCGTGTTCTGCGAGTCAGCTTTTACTAACAGTCAAGTTAGATCCTCCAATACTATATCCATACTCACCTCCTGCATTCACCCGCTGGTGGAGCTCTGTCAACACTCCACCAAAACTGGCACCACAGTATCCGGATTCCTTACTCTTTCGTGGCAAACTACGATCATCCAATCTGCCATCTTTTGCACCGTTTTCTTCCTTTGTACCTCCCTGCAATCGCATTGCGGATGCACATATTGACCTATCTCATCATGGTTGGACTCTTCAGTCTCGAAGAGACATTTGTGTACTCTGGCTACAACGTCTTACCGTCAACCATCATGTTAAGGGGCATGGCACGTCGTGCTGATGCGCATATGATGAGTGAGGGGGAAGGAAACTATGGGTGTTTGGGTGTGTTAGACTGGTGTCATGGAACAACTTTGGGCAAGGATGTGGTGGAAGACCTCAAGGCAGAAATGGAAAAGCACAACGTAGAAGCCAAGGCAGGAAAGGCTATGGACGAAGCAGGGAATGCAGCAAACGGGCTTGCCAGTAGACTTGGAAGATCCAAAAAAGGTAAAGGAAGGAAGTGAATTGCACATCAACACAAGGTGGGACACGGAAAGGGGCAGTGCAATTGGCGCAATTGGTCCTTGAGGCATGTGTTCAGGTCGGTTGTGGTCGCTTCTGATACCTTTACGTCATAATCGGATGGAGCTTTTGTGGTAGCCGGCGCAGTCATCGGTCGAACAATGTCAATGTCTGTAACTCTATTTCATGCATCAGTACTCGATTACCGCCCTGTATGTACCGCGCCAATTGAACGCCCAACTATGACATCACGCAAGCGGAGACCAAATGTTCACTTCTGGACCGTCTCAGATTCGCTTGCTCGTTATAAAGTCTTATGGTAAATGCCTTGGCGGTATCCTCCATGAAAAAAATTGGCTGCCCTGCCGCTGCGGTTCTTGATCCTCGCTAGTACGGCTGCAGTATGCCGAAGTCATCTTTCATCCCATGCACTGAACGCCGAATGCCCGATCGTTATCCGTCGCTTAGAAGACCATCGCGTGAGGCCTGTCTGAGCTGCGGAGACTGAAGCTGGCACTAAGGTAGTCCGCAAGGTGGGCTTCCTTCTTGATGGTGGCCAGGAGGGCCTTGTCGATGGCCTTCTGGTCCTCGACACGGTCCTTGGAGGTCTCCTTCTTCTGTTGCGATTGTTAGTATCGCCGCATTAAAGCGCTCGTCGTAGTTACGCACCTCGGGCTTCTCGCCCTGCTTGAAGAAAGCGTCCTCGCCAGGCTTGTGGGGGGCCTTGTCCTTGGTGAAGTAGCCGTCTTCGCTGGCCTTCTCAATAACCTTCTCGTCTACGCCTGCAAGGTCGACCTTGGTGGAGGTAGCGATGACATAGCGGGCGTTTACTCGGCGGAGGGGAACACCGTTAACTTTGAAGGGACCGGTAACAAGGAGAACACCCTGGGCAAGGTGCTTGAGGACAACGACGCGCTTGCCGCGGAAGCGGCCAGCAAGGAGGATGACGACGGTACCGGGCTGGAGAGACTGGCGGACCTTTGCAGGGCGGACAGTCTTGCGGGCCTTTGGTCGCAGTTAGCGGAGCTCCAGAAGATGCTCTATTCTCCCAAGTTCCACAATGGCGCACCCGCTGCACGCAGGCACATTGATTCGTTTCCCGTCTCTTTGCAATTCTCCGCTTTGCCTTGACGCTCCCGGTTCTATCGCGAACGTACCTTCTTGGGGACGGCAACGTCCTCAGCAGGGTAGTACTTGCTGGCCTTCTGGCTGTGGTGCGGTATCGACCTCTCCCCCTTGGAGAACTTCTTGGTGGTGGGCTTCGTGTCCTCTTGTGTGGCCGCCATTTCGTTTCGCTGTGGTCGTTAGTGCTGGTCGGTGGTGATGGCGATGGTCGGAATTTCGTGAAATCCTCCAGTGTGTGCCAAGCTGTCCAATCGATACGCGTGACCGGGCCGAGCATTGTTCCGGGGCGCTCGGAGCTTCCCGCCGCGTCGCCGCCAGCTCCACCGAAGTGGCCTGGGAAGCTCGAACATCATTGTCCCCAGCATCACAAACACCACCCCAAACATGTCCATTCAGCCACTGATCACCTTCAAGGCCGGCCAGTGCGAGCTCACGGTAAGCTGGATCGAGGTGTGCCAATGACATTACTTGTACTAATCGCACATCCAGCGCCGAGATGGCAACCAGCAGACGGTCAAGCCAATCCCGACACCTGGTTACGTCTACCTTTACCAGGGAGAAGACGGTTTGTGCGCAGCGACATCACCCCGTGCATCAGACTGACGGTGCCAGAATTCGTGCACTTTTGCTGGCGGCCCCGCGACAGGCCCCTTGACCAGTCCGAGCTTGACCTCATCATGATCCCCGGCGACGGCTCCTTCCTTCCATACACTGGCAAAGAGTCAGCAGAAGACTCAGACAATCTGAGATCACCTACCGATGGCCGCATCTACGTCCTCAAGTTCTCGTCGAGTTCACAGCGCTACCTCTTCTGGTTACAATCCAAGTCGGAACACCCACGTGGCGCCGCATGGTTCAGCGAGCGTGATCAAAAGATTGGTCAGATCGTTGATCTGCTGCTGACTGGCGAGGAAATTGATGTGCAGGCTGAACTCGCCGGTCTCTCTGACCCGCACGGCGGCAACGACGAAGACGAGACGATGGAAGACGTAGACCATTCATCTAGCCGAAACCGCCACGGTAGTACCGGAGGCGCTGGAGCGGATGCTACCGGTGGAGACATCCGAGAGGAGGGCGAAGAGTCCCGTGAAGGAGGTGCTGATGGCGGCAGAGCGTAGGTTCCGTCTACTTGTAATTATATGCGGCGTTGTGGCGTAGTGGAATCACTGAAAGCAACCGAAACTACTGTGGAAGACCATACCAGAGTCCCAATGTAGAGAAGAAAAAAACTCGAAAGGACATTCTGTCACGATACGGCGTTTGGGAAGAAGCATAAGCCCAACCAAGAACATGGGATATTGGCACTGGCTGCTCATGTAACAACAATAGAAAAATAAGCATCATGCTACGTCTTCCACCGGCCACGCCACGGCGCCCGCTCTATTTCTCTCTCTTGAGCTTCAGCATCCTGAGATATCGAGCTAATATTTCGACAGAGCCGCGTCAGGCGATGTCTCGGCAATTGTCTCCAACTTCATGGACTCGCTCAAAGGCAGCAACATGGGCGGCGGTAGCAGCAGCTCGCGCCAACAAGGTTCCGGCGCACCCTTCACCACGCTCCTCGATCTCCTCTGGCCGTCGCACACCGTCCCCACCGTCCAAAACGCATCCGATGACATCATCGACGCTCTCTGCGCCCAACTCCCCACCACGCCATTCCTCCTCGAAGCCGAAGTCGAAGATGTCGACCAAATTGATCCAAACTCTGAGACTGCCCAAATGGCTATCCAGACACTTAGCCGCGAGGAGAAAATCGACGTCCTCACCAGGATTCTGCGCGCGCCGCAGTTAAGGGCTGCGCTAGGTAGTCTGACTGAAGCACTTAAGACGGGTGCGTTGCCGACTGTTAGTCAAGCTCTGAAGGTTGATGTTGAGAATGGGGGTTACATGAGGGGCGGCGCTATGCCACTGGGTGGCGGAGATGCGGTCAAGGCGTTTTTGGATGGTGTCAAGAAGACGGTGGAGAAGGAGAAGAAGAAGGGAGGTGATGAGATGGATACGAGCTAGATGTCGCCCCGTATAGATGTGGTGGTGGTGGTGGTGAATGGGGGAGGTTTGATATGACTTCATGCTGTATGATGACTGCATATGACTTATGGTAGATATTAGAAGAATGGGACCGGCATGTCAGTCAGTACTTGGAGAAACTACATCAGTATCTTATCTTTTCAAATACTTGGTTTTGTCAGGATGTCTGGTTTATGATACTGACTCCCGTTTATGATACTCTGACAAAAGTTCTAGATTAGTACAAGATAATAAATACGCACACCCGTCAACTGTACCACACATGTGGCACAGTTGATTTTGTGAAGGGTGCAGGGGAAAACCTGGAGAAAGTCGTAACACATGACGGATGACTCGAGTGAGCGAGAAATACGAAGGGCGGCTAGGAGTCATCAACACGAAGGACGAATCAGGAAAATGTAAAAGCTGTGGTGACAGTAGCACGACGCTCATAACAGGTTGTCAAACATCCATTCACCAAAGTCCAGAAAACACGCAGACGCAAGGGAAGGGTTTGGACCAAGGCATAGATAATTGACCATGATGCCTATGATCATACTGAATATTGTAAATTTGAAAATGGCTAGTGCAACGACAACCCCCTTCCCCATGATGTGAACACCGTGCCATCAAACTCCATGCCACCAAATGCTCAAACAAACAGAAAAGGACGCTACAAACACTTGTACTACTAATATCGCTGCACTAGTAGCTTCGTCCGAACAAGATCCACTGCTTGGCTGGAGTCGTGCACGTGGGGTTGATGCACTTGGTCTTGCCAGGCTCAATACCCTCGGGCTGGTCGAAAGGAATGCACAAACTCTTCGCGCCCATGGCAGGAGCTTGCTTGTCTTCAGCGACACCATCACCCAACGCTGTCCTGGCGCTCTTGGCCTTGACTTCATCCTCGCACTTGTCACCCTCACAGTGAGGAACGAGAACAACGTTCTTGGCATTAAGAGTGGGAACGAAGTCGTCCCAGTTAGTGAGCTGTACGCGGTGGCTGCGGAAGGTCTTGTCAGCCTTTTCGAACATGTCATTTTGGATCTGCTCGAGCAGCTTGGGAACTTCTTGTGTGAGGTCATCGACGTTGATGGTACCACGTGCAGCATCCTTGTCGTCGATGTCGCGGCGCGAGGTGGTGACGACGCCCTTCTCAGCATCCTTGGGACCGAACTCGATTCGCAGAGGGATACCCTTGAGTTCCCAGTCGTTGAACTTCCAGCCAGGGGAGTAACCCTCACGGTAGTCGGTCTCAACGCGAACGCCTGCGTCTTTCAAGTCATCTGAAATCTTCTTGACCTTGCTGTAAAGGCTCTCCTTATCTTCGGCAGACATCCTACTACAGTTAGTCACACGTTTCTTAAGGACGCGTGGGTAAAACATACTTGGCTGTAACACCAACAGGGATAACGACAACCTGGATTTCAGCCACCCGAGGAGGGATGACCAAACCCCGGTTATCACCGTGAGTCAGAATCATGACACCGATTGAGCGGGTAGTCAGACCCCATGAGTTTTGCCAGACGTGGACGTGCTCTGACTTGCCGGACTCCTTCGCATGAGGGTCCTCGACTGTGATGTTGAACATCTTTGAGAAATGCTGTCCCAGGCAATGGGAAGTTGCAGCCTGAATACCACGGCCTGTTGCAGGAATGAAACCTTCAATGGTTGTGGTGTAGTCGGCTCCAGGGAACTTCTCATTCACGGTCTTGGTACCCTTGACGACAGGAACGGCGAGCAAGTTTTGGTAGACATCAGAGTACCAGTCCAAAATTTGCAGAACCTCTGCACCAGCCTCTTCTTTTGTAAGATGCGCAGTGTGACCTTCTTGCCAGAGGAACTCGCGTGATCGGATGAAAGGCATAGG